ATCATCAAAGTGTCCAATTCTCTAAAATGCAAGCTTTTGTCTGGCACATTCGAGAATTCAACCCTACGATGGTACATGAGCCTCATCGGTCCTCTATCGCCAGCTACTAAGATCTGGTGAAGAAACTTGTGCACTAATTTACAGCAAGTTGACATGGAACGATGTCCACCACCAACCTTTTTAAAATTCGACAAGGTCATTCACAGTTACTGAGGGAACGTCTTGCCTATTTTAAAAAGGTCACGATAAAAGTCATCCATCCGTACCAGGAAATGTTCGCAAGGGCATTTTAGAAAGGCCTGAAGACAAGACACTTCAACGAGTCCCTCACACAAAGACCAACTTCTTTATTAGTAGATGTGGTCACAAAGGTGAAATGTTATATAAAAGGGTAGAAGGGTAATGTTGGGGAAAAATCATGTGACGTGAAAGAGTGTGTCCCTAACACCAAAGGCTCATAACACCTATTGAAGAACAACTACACCTCACCGGTCAGAGACAAGATGACGTTTAAGCGATGTGGTGAAACCTTGGAGCTTCATGCCTCTAAACACTTGTCACGAGCAGATATGGTAGAATATTTTTCACTTGCATGACATCACTCTTCCAAGACTAGTATCAGAAAAACCATTTCTTGATGCATCAGTCTTTGAAAATTCTAACAACGCTCTTAAAAGAAGTCCTCATCAATATTATTCTTCAAGGCATGTTGGTACATATGATATCATTTGTTGTGTTGATCAATTAATAATGGTTTTTGATAAATTAATAATCAAGTGTTTGTGCTTGATGTGTGGATTAAATAACGATACTTGATGCGCTGATCAAGTGAATGTGCTTAATATGTAGATCAAGTGTGGTGCCTGATGATTTAATCAAGTGATTATGCTTGATATGTGGATCAAGTGATGGTATTTGTTATGTTTATTAAGTGATTATGTCTAATATGATTACCAAGTGATGATGCTTGAAGATCAGGATGAGTTGATAAAGATAAATCTTGAAGATCATTTGATGTAGTGATCAAGTGGATGTGATTGAATATAAATTTGTGTTGACCAAGTTGTGGTGATCGATATTTTTATGCTTACATATCAAGGTATTTTAGCCCATATATGAAGACAATACCTTATGCCAAGTATTTTCTGGTGAAGTCTATAAAGATCTATGATCAAGTGATTTGTTTTATGATAGAGGTTATCATAAACAATCATCTCAAGCATCATCAAAAGAATATTAAAGTTCCAATTAAGTTATAAAATCAAAGATAGTGTCACAAGGAACTAAAAGATTCAGAATTGTGAAAGAGAGGAATTGTGAAAGCTCGAAAATCTGGGTCGAGTGACAATGCTTATAAAGGTATAAGACTAAATTTCAATTTTACTATAGTCAAATCACACACACACATACACTCACACATACATAATCAATTATAATACTTTATTAGCCCATGGATTATTTCCTAACTTACACAATGTTTTGTTCTAAAAATTTAAGTTTCTTCTATCATTTTAAAGCACCCATAAAATGGGGTTTGATTCCTCTTTCTCACTCTGTACTCTAGTTTTTTTTACAGATATCTCATTTATCACTTTAGTTTTGCCTTAATGCCTTTGTAAGTGAATACGTGCTTTTAGAGGATCATTGTGTCTTGTGTGGGGTAAAAATTTTAAATTACTAAAAAATGTATTGTATTTTATATAATATTTTTCTTGTAAGAAGGTGTTGTTTGGTTATGAGCTAAATCCTTAAAAGCTCTTGTTTGGTTGTTTAGGTAAGCCAAGTAAAACTTATGCTTGGTTGGAGAGGTCTCCGTTATTAAAATTCTCAGTCGACTCATGAGCTTATTCGTATGTTAAAATATCTCTCTTAGTTCATGAGTTTAGCATGTGCTAAAAGCTCGCACTTAGTTGAGGAGGTCTCTATACTCAAAACTTCGTCTTGGTGGAGAAGTTAACCATTGAAAAACTCTGATCCTTATTAAACGTGTGCATATCATGATAAAAGCTCTCAAGATTGTTGAGACTCTCAAGGAGGAATTCTGTAGAAGAGAAGTAGGTCACTTTATTAAGACCGGGCCTCTATAATTTTGGTGTTTTCTCTTATCCTTTAACTATTTAATTTTCAGTCATATATGTTCGTCGTATTTTGTTTTCTTTTCCGATACTTTTACTCTGTTTGTTTTACAAAATGTTTTTAAACTTTTATTTTATAAAAAAATTTGATTGAAATGTATTTTTAGTCCAACACAATCTCCCCTTTCTTATGGCATTAGAGTTATTCTCTTGTTTAAAGATTAATCGTCTCAGGAGGAAGATAATGACTACATATACTTCTCCTTTTAATAATAATTTTTTCATTGATATACCTCCACCATTTGATGGTGATATATTTGACTTATGAAAAAAAATAAAATTTTTATCAAAGTTAACGATTTTGAAATGTGAGATATTTTAAACAATGATTTATTTATTCATATATTTTCCTTTGATGATGTGGTAGTAAATAAAAGCAATTTTGATTGGATCTAAGAGGATTTCAGAAAAGTCAAACTTGATTTTAAAGTTAAATATTTTTTTTATAAGTGTTTTAAGTTTCAAAATATTTTATTAGGTTTTTACATGTGAGTCTCCCAAGAATGTGTGAAATACTCTCGAAATGATTTATAGAGTTTCTCCGATCATAAAGCAAGAAGGAATAAACACATAAGTCCAACAAAATTGAATAACAAATAAATGTGAAAGTTATCTTCATAGATGATGCTTATCAGTTGAACTCAAAAACCTGATTCAATCTTTAAATTGAGAGATAATAAATATTTTTGATTTTCAAGAGAAATCTAAGAAGAAATCCTTGAAAAGCTCGACGTATTAATAATTTCACGATGATAAGGATACTAAGTAACTATCTCACACAACATGTTTCTTGCCTTTTTTTTTTTTGAAGTCCTTTAATTCCTAGCTATCTCCCTTTTTGTACTTGAACTATGTTATTTTAATTAATGAAGTATGTTTTTCCTTTAAGTGTTTGAGCCTACTTGAATTTATGTGCTTAGATACTTGTTGTATTTGTCAATTTAATTATTTTCTCGCATTTTTATAATAGAAAAGGAGAGAAATATATTCTCATGAGAATAATGTGTACTTTTTAATTTTTCAGGGTGTGCAACTCTTCAACTTTATCACTCTTGATTCTTAATTTGTCAATCTCATTGCAAGATACGTTGTCATCATTAAAAAAAAGAGAATGTAAATCTATGTGTTTGCTTCTATGAATACTGCAACAATCTTTTGATTTGATTTTGATGCCGACAATACTTCATCACTCTTGTTGCTCAAGGCTTCAGATGGTATGTTGGTTGAGATGGTATAATATGTCTTATTTAATAAGTGATGAAGCTTGACAAGTTGCTGATTAAGATGTTTTGATCAAGATAAAGATGTTGGTTCAGAGTAACCAGGCTTTGGAACTACCCACACCCACCTGCGCTGGGCATCTTTAGTTATTTATCTTTGAATACCTTTATAAAATTCTTCCACCATAATGCATCTCACATAACACAAAACGCGTGTTCTTAATTAGTCCATATAATTAACTGCCTTAAAATTATTATTTAGAATAATCTTGACCTTTTGCATATCACATACACAGAAAATCTGCTAAATGGCTCGAAGGGACGCGAATATCATTCAATTAAAAGAGTTATATTGCCTTTAATAAGATAGTTATAGTCAAAATAAAATAAAAGTGTAATATACTAATAATTTTACGTTTAATACTCTCTTGTTTTTACAAAAGAAGAGGAATAAATTTAAGATAATAATAATTGGCATAAATATTCTTTTTCGAAAAAAAAGCAGATATTCATAAATATTCAAAGATACCATAAAATCTGCTAGAGCATAGATAGGTCTAAGGGACACGAATATGATTATTATTCAAAAAGTATATAATAATAACATATGACTACTATGTGTACCTGTATATATCATTATCATTCCTATTCACATCACAGCTGAGCTATCACTAATCCAGCGTAAGTGAAGTAAAACCGTCCACGGGATACTCAACAAAAACAGACCATGGGATATATCTGAGTCTCATTAATATTTCGGACAGCATGTTTTTCTGGAAAACTTATATCTGTATTATACAATTCAGCAAGAGTCCAATTGTGCGCCAGTCTTATGTTCCACCAATTCAATAGCGTGGAGAATGCCTCTCTTGCTAGTTGTAAATACAAAATATAAGTACATTGTGGAGATAATATTTTAAGGTAAAGTCAATAACATACAATACAATGTCTCCAAAGTTCAAACTTGTAATACAAACTTCAAAGATAAACATTTTGACAGCAAAAGTCAAAGGCTTCTCCAAAGTTCAAACTTGTAATACAAACTTTAAATATAAACATTTTGACAGGAAAAGTCGAAGGCTTCATCTCAGTTAGCAATTAGATATGTGAATGTCGAAGTTTTACTTGGAAAATGACCTATTTACAATTGAAATATAACAACTTAAATAAAGGATTAACTCAAAACCGATAATAGAATCTCATTCTGCAAATTCTATTTACAATTTCGCACTTCGTAATAATAGAATCTAAATCCAATGAAAGATCGAATTCGTCATGTTTCAACTAATCAACCATGACACACCAATGGTCTAAGTGAATTTTGGACGCACCACCATAGAACTAAGACACAAGAGGTCGTTCTTTAATGCAGAATATACTTCATATTTAATCCAAATCTACATGCTAGCCCGCAAGAGTTTGCTCCAGAAAGGCCAAATGTTTCTGTTAAGATCTTCCTGTGGAACACTTTCTGTAGAACACAAACTGAAACGTGGCTACAAAGTCAAGGAGGGGGCCATTTTTGGACCTCTCTTCCAAGACCCAATCCGTGCTGCCGCAGAATTTCGAAAATCTAATCTGATAAAACAAAATAATATAAACAAAACATGCATTTGATTTCCAAACGATACCGTGATGAAAATATTTAGTCAAAACTTGAGCAGCGACTCCATCTTCCTTGCAAATAGTCCTCCAATGAGACAGTTTGCTCAGTGCTACTGATAGAAACTGCATCATCCTCCAAGTCCAGCAAAGCAAGGTTAAGGTGGGACTGGATATTTGTTCGAACTGGTTCCTCATCAAATCCATCATGTGTCTCCGGTGCACAAACTTCTTGTTCTGCCCATCTTGTTACTTCTTCATCGCCATGAAGAAGTTTCAGTATCTGCATTATTGAAGAAACGTGATTGATATCCCAAAGGACACATAGAGTGAGACAAACAGAAGGGAATGAATTCGCGTAGGTAAAAGACTTACAACTCGGATTTGAGGACGCAATCTAGGAACTCGTCTAATACAAAGAGTAGCAGCTAAAACCATTCTCTTGATCTGGCAATCGTCGTATTCACTGCCAAGGCTTGGGTCAAGCAACTGGGAAATCTTCCCACTTTTCGAGATTGATGTTGCCTGAAATTGGATATGGTCATTAGTCATATTGACTTTCAACTCTTAGGATACAATACTTGTGGAATGCTGAGTTCTAGTATTAGCACATGCTTCATTTATATACATACAGTGTTGTTACTATCTTAGATGCTGAACTTTTATAAGATTATAAAAAAAAAACTTACCCACATAACAAGGCTCTCCTGGCCCTTCGGAGATTCATTGTTAATGGGTTTCCTATTGGATAGAAGCTCAAGGAGTACAACACCAAAAGCATATACATCAATTTTGTCAGTAACTCTACCGTGCATAAAATATTCAGGAGCTAGGTACCTGCCAGATAAATAAACCTTTTCAGAATGAATCAAATAAAGATAAACAAGCCAGAGAAGATAGAAAAAGGAATGCTACTCACCCAAATGTTCCGGCAACATCAGTACAAATAATATGAGAAGAAGAACCCCAACTAGCCAGTCCAAAATCTGAGAGCTGATGAAATAAACATGTGGCTTAGAGGAAGGGTATAACTGAAATCAAATCCGAAGAAATATAAAAAGATGACAATGCCCGTCAGAACAAGGAGAGTAAATATATTACAGCACCTGAGCCTCAAAATCGTCTGAAAGGAGGATATTAGAAGATTTGACATCCCTATGGATTACAGTTTGGGCACAGCCATTATGCAGATAATCCAAGGCCTCGGCTACACCCACAGCCACTCGGTACCTCTCTTGCCAGCCAAATGAATTATAGTCAATTCTGTTACCTATTCCAGAGACGCAAGAAAAGCAAATTAGAGAGAGTAAAGAATTACGCAATCACTAGCAATTTACAAACAATGTCAAGTAAATATCTACCGTGAAGGTTTTCTTCTAGGCTTCCTCTTGATAAAAAATCATAAACCAGTAATAAATGGCTTCCCTCTAAGCAAAAACCAGATAGAGATATTGTGTTCTTATGATGCAAAGTTGTAACAATCTCAACTTCTTGAGCGAACTCTTTTACAACATTCTCTGATGGCTTCAAAATTTTCACAGCCAATTCCTTGCCTTCAGGATGACACCCTCTGTAAACATCACTACTGCCACCTTTGCCAACCAAATTTTCTAAACACACAATAAGGAAAGATCAGAACATATCTCAAGCATGTGACTAGAATGAAAATTAAGAAACAAAAGTTGGATTGATGAAAAGCTTACCAGATGAGAAGTTTACAGTTGCAGCAACAAGTTCCTGCAAACTATACAATCTACAAGAAGCCGAGTACTTCTCTCGTAAAACCAACAATTCTTCGGGAAGGCTACCAGCCTCACTGCAAAGAGTGGGAGGGGGTAAGACAATAGCAGATCCAAACGGCACAATGGCACCACTCTCCCCATCCAGGGTAGACTCATCGACTTGATCAATATTAATCTGTTTATGATCCGGATAAACTACAGCTGAAGACTGGCTGCTGGAATGTCGTATTGCCCGTTGAAAAACATATGTATTTTTCGGTGAAGACTTCGATGTATGCTTTTTATGCTGAAACACATTCCGAATGAGTGACCAACCAGGTTTTGTCTGTTTAGAATTTCCCACCACGGAATCATCTTCAAGCTTTTGAAACGGTACCATAGCAAGCGGGTTTTCCGTTTCACAATCATCAAGCAACAACTCCCCTTTATTATATTCGGTTTCAGAAATCTCTCGCAGAGCACAACTTTCACAATTCTTCACACTTTTATGAGTAAAAATCACCATCGATCTCGATGATAAATGTGAACCTTCCTGTAATTTCCCTGCCATAACAACAACAACAACAACAATCAAATAAACCTCCCAGAACGAGAAGAAAAAAAACCAACACAGGATCACAATTCACAACTAAAGCTGAAAATAGTAATAATTAATACACAAATAACTCAGAAAAAACCTTGATCACTAGCTTCTCTCTGAAAAGCAATTTTTCCATTATCAACAGCGAAAACAGAAACACACTTATGCAATTTCTTCGCACAATACTTAGCAACCCACGAAGACGAACGGATAGTATGATGAGATTTCGAAGTTCCTAGAATCACCGTCGAAACTCCAAACGCTCTCGCCTCTTGTACTAGAAGCTTCCGAACCGAATCACCTCTACACACTTTCAACCTAAGATCAACCTGAAAATCAAAAACAACACAGTGAATTCATTTCCAAAAACAGATAAAATCTTGAAACTGTTCATTCACCATTTTCCCTCCCTAAACAAACCTGCTTCAAATTGCAGAAGCCTTCGTAAACGGCGAGAACTGAATCGAACGTCTTCACGAGAGACAGAAGCGACGATGTTCCCTCTACACATAAACATTCACATTCTATATTCAGTTTCCAACAAAAGCAATGCTAATACAGAGAGAGAAAGAGAGAGAGAAAGACCAGTTACGGTGTCGAGAACGTGAAGAGCGATGACGAGGTCACCGGGCTCAGCGACCTTAACGAGTGCCCACGTCAGCAACTCGCGGCTGCGGGGATCTAATTTTACTCCGACCAACACTTTCCGGCCACCGGCGCCGTCGTCGATTAACTTCATTGGGAGAATCACTTTGTTATTTTCTAAGGAAATTATGATTCTCTCTCTTCGTGTTGTTTTGCTTTATCTTGGGAATAGAGAGGGGGAACGAATCATGGTTGAGGGAAGGACTGTAAAAGCAAACTGTTTCGGAGAAATGATACTCTGCTTCTCGGTTCAGTGTAAGCGGTTTTAGATTTAATCTGAGCCGTTCATACGTGTTAATGTAATTTATTTTGTTTAGTATTTCAATTATGTTAATTAATTATGGGTTGTCATGCACTTAATGGACCCGTTGCTGACGTGGCGGACTAAATCACAAAAACCGGGATAGTGTGTGAGAGGAAACAGTGTAGCGTAGACATCGGAGACCATGCTTTGAAAATGACTGATTTGAAGCCGTTGATTCTTTCACGGTGTTAAATAAATGCTTTGAAAAATCAAAGAAATTTATAAGTCATGTCCAAATTTTAATTTTAAAAAACAAAGAAAATTATATTTATTGTGTGAATCATTAAAGCTTTGATGCTGATAAGTGGTAAGAACCATTTTTATTCTGTTAATGATTGATTATTTATTCGGTTTTAAATTTAAACTTGAATTATCGATTTAGAAAAACCTTAATTCACTTTCCCTTTATAGTGATGTTATTCAGGATGATTTGGTAAGATATACTACTATAGTATAAGAGGTGAAGTTATTCAAAGTATATACTTTAATGCGATTTAATTATAAAAAGAAAATGATACTACTTTGATGCATGGTCCTTCCTTGGTTATTTAGAATGATTATGCTTCCTTGTCCATGTACTCTTTAAAAAATATTTGAAGGTACTTAACTGGTAAAAATGATGAAGAAACAAAACACCGTCTTACTCACCGTTTTAAAATTATTTTAATTAAATAAATTTCGCTTTTACTTATGAAATCTTATACATATAAATTATTAAGTACTTAAATAAGTTTTGACACCAAAATTAAAAATAATTTTATAATTATATAAATTTTATTTATTTATTATTATTCACTTCACTAACTTATTTTTTATTTTATTAATAATTTTTTATTCATTCTATTAATTAGTTTTTTTTGTCTTATATAAAAAAATTATTAAATCACTTAAACACGCAAAGTTAATAATAATTATATCACCTTTTAGTTTTATATTTTAAAACTATTTAATCAAAGCTAATTTTTTTAATATTTTTTTATATTTGTTATTTAGTAAAACTCACTTTCTTCTATTAATATTTTTTAATTAATAATTTTTTTTTTGTAAAAAGGAAAATTTTATTATTAAAAAGCAAAGAAAAACACGACGATTGCTAGGATTCAGTCAACAACAAAAAATTTATAAAAAAAACTAAGAAATAAAAGCCTAGACTAACATTAATCTTATAATCTTATCCGAAAAATAATCTTATTCTTGATATCTAAAAGAGTAGCTTCTCTATCCACCTTTGTTCTAAAATAATAGAGATTCTAAATTTCTAGATGCCATAAATTGTCTCAACTGCTGCAAACTTCAACAAGGTTTTTCTCCAACCTTGCTTATACCTTGAGAAATAATTCACTAAAGCTCTTCATCCCAACTTTTAGGGGAATGGATATGGTGAACCCAGCTCAGAATACGGCTCCAGATATACCTCAACTCCTCACACTCAAACAAAAGGTGCAGATTTGTTTCCTCCCTTTTGCACAAAGTACAATCCTTATTATCAACCAATCTAATCTTGAAAAGTCTGTTTTTTATTGTCAATCTCTGATGACAGGCCAGCCAGAAAACCAACAATGATCTTGGTCTAGCAGGGTTATTCCTCAACAGTTTATACCAACTCACTTCAGGCATGTTGAACAAATTAAGATACACTTTCTTCATATTAAACCTTTACTTAGCATTCATGTCCTCCCATAACACAATTACTATCAATGAAACCCCTCTGATCCAAAATTTTCCTAATGATCCAAGTGCTAGTAAATTTAACTTTCACCTCTCTAATATTCTGCTTCTTTATATAGTAAGAGTTATTCCACTTCACCCACAAACTATCCCTTTTACTGCAAATGTTCCAAAGGAGCTTTAACAAAGAGCACTTGTTCCAGATTGCAAGATCTATAAGACCTAACCCATCATGCTTCACTGGTTTACACACATTAGTCCAGGCAACAGTACTTTTCCTACTAATAGAATCCTTCCCAGTTCAAATAAAAGACCTACAAATAGCATCAATCTTCCTGATAATCTCTTTAGGCATAGGGAAAACCATAAGCCAATAGTTAGACATAGCAAAAGAAATATTTTTAATCAATTGAACTCTCCATGCATAACTCAAAAGCTTACAAGACCAATGATTAATCCTGCAAGTAATCTTGTCAACTAGAGTCAAGTAGTGACTAACATCCATTTTTTTGAAAGTGAGGGGAACCCCAAAATATTTGAAAGGTAAACTACCTTCTTTAAAGCCTGACTGATTCAGAATCCTATGCTTCACATTATCATCAACTCCACTAAAAAACATTTTACTTTTAATGGTATTAACTTTCATACCTATAGAAGAAGCAAAAGAGTTGAAGGTTTTTAGCATAAGATCCATGGTAAAGTAGTCACCTTTAGAGAACATGAGAACATCATCAGCAAACATCAGATTTGTTAGCTCAATTTTCTCACGTTTAGAATGGTGATTAAAGTTAGGATTAAGTTGCATTTGGTGCAAGCATCTCTGCAGATAGTCCATAATAATGGCAAAAAGATAAGGGGAAATGAGATCCCCTTGTCTAATCTCACGCTTAGCTTGCATAATCTGAGAGACAACACCATTCACATTGAATCTGTAGGAAACTATAGTGACCACACTTATAATCCAATTAATGAATTGATAAGGAATCCCAATCTCATGCATAATATTATGTAAAGCTTATCAAGAGACCACGTCATAGGCCTTATGAATATCTAGTCGAACCTTACACTTAGGGCCCCTCCCTTTGTGCTATAGTCCTTTATCAACTCAAAAGCAAGTAATATATGACTTTGAATTTGCTGACCAAGAATGAAAAGAGCCTGATTAGGGCTAATGATTTTTCCTATAACCTGGCCCAATCTAGCAGTCAGAATTCTAGAAATAACCTTGTAGACAGTTGTACAAACAGAAATTGGCCTATAGTCCTTTTCACTCATAACAGACTTACTCTTTGGGATACGAGAAACCAAAGTATAATTAAAAGCTTTGTAGAGATAACCTTTATAAAAAAACTCTTGAACTGCAGCAGTCAAATCACCTTTTATGATATCCCAAATGTACTTAAAAAATCTAGAGCTAAAACCATCTAGACATGGAGCTCTCATATCATTTATACCGTTAAGGGCATAAAAGATCTCTTATTCCTTGACAGGGCAAATCAAAGCCCCCCTCCCTCTGAACCATATTATACTGAGGACCACTCCTCATAACCCTCACATTGTTGAAGCGGTGTAGCGGCAAGCAACAAAAGTTTTGGAAATATTTATTCGGGAATTTATCGTATCCACAGAGATTGGTTATTGAATTGTCGTTCGACAAATCTCTCGTTAATGAGTTTGGGGATAAATGGGTTTGTAAAGAAAATATTATCAGCAGAAAATAAATGTCAACAAAAGTAAAAACTAAGGAAGAACTTATCAAGCTTGCATATAATCTACTCATCACAAACTTAAATCTACCGACCAGTTACATTCAACCTAATAATACTCGTCAATGTCACTATGTATCACTCACAACCTAAGTCATTTCTAACCCAAATTGAGAGACCAATTGTATCACCAAGGAAATGATCTCTCTACCTCCTTAACAACACAGAAGACAACTATGTAATCACACTGACGATCTCTCAGTACAGCACAACCACACAGAGGCATTAAGCTCTGATACCCAAGTAGATGTCAGCTCTAAATCTATCTCTAGAGTTTAGAAACTAACAGATAATCATCCTAGATAAGAATCTAAGCACTATATGACTATAACAACTCAAATCTCTAGCACAGAGAAAAAAATCTAAGACAACAATCCACAAAGATTTGTAAAATAAGTTTAATATAATACCATGGGCGACAAATATACATAAGTTCAGAGTAAATACATTTACAAACTCAACACATAAAGAATACACAAAGAGGAAGAGAAATGAACCATAAATCTTCTGGTTTATCAGCGCCAATTGATGAGTAATACACCTCGGATCATCTGTATGCAAGCTTCAATGTTGTTTTCTAAGCTAATCATATCACAAAATAAAGGGTGATGGAGTTGGGGTCAAAAATACCCAAAACCATACCAAAAAAAAGTGTTTTTACACCTAAATACACATATCTGACTTAGGGATGTCAGTTTGGACCTGTTAATGGGGATCCCCGCGGGGAACGCCCCGTTCGGGGCCCCAAAGATGGGGAATTTTCCCCCGTGGGGGCGGGGATGGAGAGAAAAATTCCCCCGAGAGAATTTCGGGGACGGGGACGGGGAATACACCCCCCGCCCCGCGGGGACTCCGCCCCGCCTATTATTTTAATATAGTTAATTTATCCCTTATTAGTTTTGATGAAGTATAGTTTTTTAAGCATAATTATGTTGTTGGATTTTTTTAGTTGTTTAGGCATATTGTTACTTTAAAAAGTATTATAGTTCATTTTGTTGAATTTTATAGCATTTTATAGAAATTTATAAAAAAAATATTATTATTTTGTGTTCCATTAGTATTTTTAATAAAAAATAATAAATGTCAAATACTAGTATTTTTAATAACATAATAAATATGTGAATTCTTTGTGCTTTTTATTTTTATAGAAAATATAAACATTTTAAAAAAATAAAATATTAATGAATAAATGTAGGATCTATGGGGATTCCCGCGGGGAACGGGGATGAGGATAGAAATTCCCCCGTGACGGAGATCGGGGACGGGGACGGGGAATGAATTTGATGGCGGGGAAAAAGATGGGGAAGTGTCCCCCCGGCCCCGCCCCGCCCCATTGACATCCCTAATCTGACTGTC